TTATGTATATACTTATTTAATTTCAATCAATCTCTACATATTCCCAGTTTAGAACAATCAATCTCATTTCATAAAACCACCCCTTTTTAATTTCAAATCAACTAGGTGGCTTCCTTGACAAGCCACACAAAAAAGAAATAGGAAATAAGTGAGGCATACCACACATGGCAGGTAATGTGGGCCCCACGTCCCCACCTAATGGGCTCATATTTGGTAGGCCTTAATGAATTTTGGGCCCCCACAATTTTAAGTGAATTTTAAAATAAATAAAATTATTTTTAGAAAATTATAGCTATTTTATTTTTCTCTAAGAATATTTAGATTCTTGAAAAATCAATTTTAGCTCTTTTAAAAATATCCAGACATTATCTAAAAATTCATATTAATATTCTAAAAATAATTTAACATAAAATTAATCATTTTAAAACCATCTTGATAGAAATTGGATCCAACTATGTTGAGGAAAATGTGAATATATTTAGGCACTTCATCTCTACTAGTGACCATGTCCCCACTCAATTTCTCAAACTGGCCCAATAGCTTCCATGACCCACCTTCCATCGCATGGCTTATGATTAGACAATCAAAGCCAACCAATTTGTTATGAGAGTACAGTCCTAGCCCATGGATTACATGTTCCCCTAGGGACAAGCCTAGATCACAAAGACTTGTGAAATCTTATCGCAATTGGTGCATGAGGGCTATCTCATACATGTATATGTCACACTCTCAGCGGTGTCTATTTTTAAATATGACTATCATATGTACATGTTGTGTGATGGTCATGATGAAGATTTGACTCTTGTCCCTTCAAGCTCTCCAATCGCATACAAGGGTCACACAGTCCCTTAGCCAACCACTCAGGGCATTTATCTAACATCATCAAGGACTAACCCTAAATCCCTCAGTTGTGCTTCATGCCCAAAGACATAGGGCTTTAAAATCAATCCGACCTAGCTCATTTAGCACGATGAATTTTTGGCATCAATATTGCCATCTTTGGACCCTCTAGACCATAATCCTTTAATCCCTCTAGAGTTATTATATCATTATAGTTATAGCTCTCGTGAGGCTTTTAAATAGCCACATAATCCTAATATAAACAACATACCCATAAGATTAATGTTGATGAGATAAAGATGTTGAGATGGATAACTGACGAGACAAGAAAAGATAAAATCTAGAATAAATACACATGTCGGAACTTGGGGTAACTCCAATAAGAAATGCAATGAGGGAGTGTAGGTTCAAGTAGGCTGGCCATGTGTAGAGCCTGATTAATATAGCTTTGGTTAGGAAGGATGAATTGGTTCAAGTAGAAGGCTTTAAAAAGACAAGGGGAATGCCCAAAAAGACATAGATGGAAATAGTGAGGAGAGATATTATGACTTACGGTCTGACTAAGGGTATGACTGGTTAGGTGCCTCGATCTCGCTTCCCAGATCTAGGTGATCGGGTGACAATGTCTCGGGATCGAAAAACCCGGGACTTGAGATTGCTCTCTCGGGAACCTTGTTTAAGAACAAGGGTAGGTAGCCAAGTAATGAGAGAGGAATTTTGGATGTGAGGTGGGGACCAACCTCACTTGGGTCTATGACTTACTCGGGCTGACTCGCATGGGCGCCCTCTTAGATCACGACGGAAAGCTCCCCAGCTGCTTTAGCTGGTTCGGAATCGCCTCCCTTGACCTCAATCTCCTTATTTTTCTACACGACACTACTATGGTTAATTTGCAAGACAAGTGGGTTGAAGGGCCCACCCTTGTCTTAGGGCGATGCACATTCGTGTAGCTAGGAATGTGAGGGTTTAGAGTGATAAAGTGGAAGGTTCGAACAAAGGTCGAACATAGAAGAAAACTTGATAAAGGGACGAGACTAGCTTGATAGCCGAACAGTGACAGACTCGGAGTGGTAGCAAGACGGGCATGGTACTCAGGACCAGCACGACGGCAATGCTACTCGAAACCGAGGCCGATGTGGTGGTGGTAGGCTAGGTCAACCCTCGATCAGGTGAGAAGAGAGTGAGAATAAAGAGAAGTCCTCACCCTCGATGGACTATTTACGATTTTGACAGTTTGAGGATTTTGTAGGGACCTCATTGGTCAGAATCTGTCCTATCTGGAGGCCAAGTGCTATGAACCTTTGGTCGACATTGTTTACTGTTACACTAAGTTTGCTTTTGATGATCAGGGTATCTCTGTAGGACCCGTTCAACGGGGTCCAATCGGGGGCTTCTAATTTATCCCGAAGATCTAGGCCTGTTAGCTAGAGGTAATTTTGGCGAGGCAGCCTCATGGGCCTCATCCTGTCGGGTCCAGTCAGGGGATTTTTAGCAGCATGTCCTGAAAATCTGGGCCTGAACTAACTAGATACTTAACTGTAAAAAACTCACAAATTAAACCTTGGTCAGAACCTGATAAGAGATGCCAGATCTCCATCAAAATTTGATTTTGGTTTTTACTGAATTATGCTTATCACTCCAAGCCTTAAAATCAGTGCAAGTTGAGTTGAAAATGCTCGAATCCAAATGGCTAAGTTTTGGAATTGTGCAAGTTAGGGCCCTTGAGACCTTTGTCAAAACTCAATAAACCCCTAGAATACCTTGGTCAAAATCTGTAGGACAACAACTGTAGTCAATGTTTAAAATTCATATTTTTATAATGGTGAAGTTTGTATAAAAGTGCCCACCTTATACTATACAAGTTATGTGCATCTCTAAATCTTACTAGAAGATGCAGTTCTGGAGTCGGAAATCCCGCAATGGCATGAAAATTTATGTTCAATCCTAATTATAAAATTTAAATTTTGAAAAATAATACAAATCGAGCAGATATATAAACACTTGAAAACAGACAGTTCTAATAACTTAATACAAGATCAATTATTTTTAAGACTTTCGTTTGTCTTTATATCTATTCATCTCAAGGTCGAGATGATCAATTGAAACGTTTTCCAACTTTAGAACACTCTTTTCTAATGGATTTTTGAGGTGCACCCTACTTCTAAGTTCTATAGTATAAGGTTACAACCTTAAATAATTTTTTTCCTTTAATAATTTTTTTTCCTTTTTGGTAACGTTATAAGAAGTTTCGATAGAGCTCATACATGGTAGTAAACTTATGCCATCAAATATCCAACACATCTCCATGCAAATCCATGGTTTTAAACAATGGAGTCGTGATTTTATGGAAAAAAAAATAAGACACCGAGGTCAAAGTTAATGACCTTCAAATTTCAAGATCTTAATCGTGTTTTGATGATGAAAATTGTCAAAATCCTTCACATGCTGGTCCTTCAGAGTTCATATATTGTCATGGCCAACAAGCCGATATATTCTTGAGGAAATCATGGTTGTAACATGGCAAAAATGCACATCTGCGAGAGAACTTGGTCAATATTCTGCCAAGGGGATTTTTATATTATTTATCAAATGATACAATTTATTTTGCATTTGTAGTATGTGACACATTAATTTTCTGTGAGGCTAAAGTTGAACAGGTGACTTATTTTTACAAAATTTCTAAGATATTATGAGTTGGCTTTGGTGCTCAAGATAAACTTTATTAAGACATCTAATTTGGGGGTTGAATGCCCGAATGACAGGTGGAATATTTTTCCCATCAAGTATTTGGGTATTCCAATCTTGGATACAAGAACCTAGGACTGTTTGGGATCTAATATTGAAGATATTCCAAGTTAAGCGTGATTTATGGCAAGTAAAACTTATCCTTGAGGGGAAGAATTACTTTGATCAAGTCTTTTTTATCTAATCTCCCAATGTACCAATTGTCCTTGTTATATATGCCTCATGTTTTTATTGAAATATCTGTGAGATATATACTCGAACAAAGACAGAGTATATGAAAAGCAATTTTAGTAATAATAGGATTAAAAATAAACAATATTTAAGATTGTCAACCAAAAAATAACAAAAAAATGCACTAGTAATATCTTGGATTGGTAATCCAAGAAAGTTGAAAGATTGAGGAAGATGTCACATATAGAATTAGAGTTTCGTGAGCGAAGTGGAGATGTGCACCTGAAAAGCAAGTTCTATAGAACTGTGAGACCAATTTTACTTTATAAAGCAGAATATTAGATAGTCAAAAAACAACATACCCATAAAATAAGTATAACTGAGATGAGCATGCTGAGATGGATGGATGAGTGACAAAACAAAAAAGGATAAAAATCTAAATGATTACATTTTAAAGAATTTAGGTGCGGCACAAATAAACAATAAGATGAGAAAAAATAAACTTAAGTAGATTGGTCATATGTGACACAAACCCAATACATCAATTAAAAAGTATGAGTTCGTTCAAGTGGAGGGTTCAAAAAGAACAAGAGATAGACCTAAAAAAACATATATGGAAATAGTGAAAATGATATGAATACTTATGGCCTTTAGTATGTGCATTATTCAGCAGTTTACAATACTATAACTTATGATCATGAGTCATGAGTCGTATTTTAAAATCAAATAAAAAATATAAGTACAATGATCATCTTATTTTGATCATAAAACACCTAAAAAAAAAAAAAAATCATTGGGGTAGTAAAAAATCGACGAACTTAATAATCCAGTGATTACTTTATAAAGATCATTTCAAGCACTTCTCCAACTATTTTGCAAAATATGTCTAAAAGATCCTCCTCAAATTCCAAACTAATAAGGGTACTTCGATGATTTGGGGTAGCCAAAGTTGCTTAAGCTCAAACGTCATGGTACCCTCAGCCTGTTCCAAATTTCGAATCATACAGAGGTTTTTAATTAAATTATCTTGTTCTGGGTTTGAGACCCAACCGAGGGTTATTTTCATATTTTGGCTCAATCTAAGTGCCTGAACGAAATAACGAAACTGCACCTTGAAGATCCAAGCCTTAAGCATGTGTTTTCCGTTATAATATCTTACTCGAGTGAGAGCATTTTGGTAAAACGGAAAAACAGATTATTATTATTTTTAATAATTCAGAGGAAAATCCTGCCGTATGAGATTTTTTAATAATCTCTTACTTGATTTGTTTATAATATCTTACCCTTCGAATCCATGTCAATCATACACAATTATTTGTGGAACATGACCCCAATACTCTGTTTAGTGACTCGTCCCTAGACACGTTCTCCTTTGAGGGAATAGAACTTGCAGACCCTATGCTTGATAACAGTATCCCAAACGCCTGGATTCCAAGGAAGAATATGAAGAATGTTATTACATAATGGATATCGAACTAATACATAAGGACAACAAAATGAGCCATTGCTAATAATCAATTATCTGATATCAGTTGGACAAATACCAGCTTCTTCGACCAGCTGCAGGGATATGATCCAGCTTCCTGACATGGGGAAGAAATCAAATATTAATAATGTCTAAGTGGGCCAAAAAATTTCCTCTAATGCCTAAATAAATCGCGAATCAAATAAATAAACAAGAGAAAACACAATGACAGTGTTGCTGTTAAGGAACATATATTGATTCAAATCAAAGTTGTAAGACAGCTATAATAATTCCTTTTCTTCATAAGCAACATTAGTTTGTTTCCTTTTACTTATTTTGGTATTATAAGTGCAAGGGCTCAAAGAAGAACTCAGCAATTACAGTCCACTTGTCTTCAGATGTCCATTCAAGTACCAGGACAGGAAATTTGTCTGAAACATTGCAACTTATATGACAGACTGATGAAGAAAAAGAAAGCTTTCAAATGCATGAAAATGCTAGATTCTCTTACCAATGTAATGTGCTTCAATATGTACGACATCAATAATGAAACTCTAAGCATAAGGATTAAAGTGTATTTCCAAAGATTCACATGAAATTGCAATAATACATCCCAGTTCCGAATCCTACTACTCAACCAGTAATTCCTTATTCAAATTCCTTTACAAGGATGACAACAATGATCAACCTATCATTGGGCAGACCAAATACAAAGACAAAGCACTTTGAGAGTCTACATATTTCGCCCATTTAGATTTAAAGCTTTCAAACTAACTAGGCTGAAAATTAATCCTTTATAAGGTTTCCTGTAAAGTTGATTTAAATAGTAAAGGTCCGACTTCTAACAAGTTCAATTTTAAGTAACAATTAAAGGGAGTGGACTGAACATGATTTCCATTCAATTCAGCATGCTGCCCCACTTCAAAGACGGAGTAAACATGTTTCCTTTTTATCTCCCTTCCATCTGTAAACTGTCCTACATGATTCAGATTTCCAAACCAGACCCGAGAACATCACAGGTAATTGTTCCATCTAGACAATTTAACTTGAATTAAGCTCTTGCTCCCTCAAGTTAAAATGTGCCAAGTAAGATGAGACAAGAATTAAATCTGAATTTTAGACCACCTCAGTATCTCAGCCAAGTTGTTCAGCTCAACCAACGTCACATTTTCAGGAAGAATTGACAGAAATGTGGACTTCAAGTTAAAGTTTCCAATGTTCACAATAACTTGATGATCTAAGGATGAATCCATGTTATAGAGAATACCTTTTATAACTCCTGTAACTCCCATTGTTTGTCAAGCTGAGGAAAGACTGGATCAAGCTGAGTAGGCATAGATGAGATGTTGTTATGGGTTTCAAGTAGGACATTTTTCAAACAATTGAGGATAACGCAGCAAGGAAAAGCAAAGGTAGAGGGAAATGTTGCGGAGAGCTGAATGGCACCTCTGCAACATCAATTACGAGAAGGCCTCAAACTCAGAACAAGCCTCTCATCCCTCAGGCCCATCCACCCAGGATGTTTCTTCCCAGATGTGCACCTAGACGCCTGGGACCCCCAAATCAACTTCCTAATGAAGATCCTGATATGGAATATCAGGGGGATCGGCAGGGGGATCGGCAAACAAGCCAGGAAGAACACAGTTCAGACCTTGCCATAGAGTGAGTTACTAGTTATAGAAACAAAATCGCTGGCCCCAACACTCCTGCTAGGCCCCCAGATATGAGGGAGATGCCCATGCCAGTGGGTGGCTCTTCTTGCCCAGGGAGGCTCCAGCGGAATTTGGGTACTCTGGGACCCAACAATCCTATAGCCTTACCCTAGACCATAATAGGAATTTTTTTGGTTTTTTTCTGCTTCCAGCCTTCCATAGAATCTTGGCCATGTGTCACTGGAAGTTTACTGCAATCTATGGCCTGAATAAGCCGGGCCTTAGGAAACAATGCAGGTAGAATTATAAGATGGCTGCTATTTACCCATTCCCCTGGTACAATATCGGGTGGTTTCAACATTATAAGATGGTCACATGAATGGGTGGCTTCTCAAGTACCACCTTATGGACCTACCCTTGAAGGGGTCTATACATGGTCCAACCATGAAGCAAGTCCCAGACTGCATCAGATAGGATCCCAGCCACCCTGATTGGGTAGAGTCATTCCCTGGTATGCACACCAAAGTGCTACCTAAGCCTATCCTACTTAATACAGTTCAGTGCAAAATGGTCCTAGACCGTTTGGATTTGAATTAATGTGGTTAAAGGAACTCCACCTGCTCCACTTGATACCTCTGTGGTGGGAATTCCTTCGATATTCAGGGTTGGGCAGGGCTCAGGCTTCACAAAAAACTGAACTTGCTCATGGGTAATACTAAACGGTGGAGTAGGGGTCCAGGCAACTTTAGTGCTCCTAAAGAAACCTTCTACAGGAGATTCACCAGAGGAGCTTCATGGAAGAAGCCAGAGATCTATACGTGGGCAAAAGAAACACAAGGGGGGAGCTAAATGGAAGTTGCATGGTCTCCTTAAACAGGAAGAGTCCTATTGGTACCAACGATTAAAAGTTATATGGCTCCCGGAAGGGAATAGAAATATGAACTTCCTTCATAAGATAGTTAATTGCCATCATATGGCTAATACAAATTTTCAGATTAGAGAGGGGACTATAATCTATGATGACCATTGGTGGAGTAATTACTAAGTACTTCCAAAAACTTTTCTCCACCTGTAAGCAGGTTAACGCTAGAATGATTAGTCTCCCACTAATGCAGATTCCTAGCATGAAGAGGAGTTGTTGGAGAGGCTTTTTAGGTGGAAGAAATTAGAGGCAGTAATGGAATAAGGTTCGTGGACATAATGGCTTCGTTGTTGCCATTTCCAAAAATTCTGGCAGTTATAGCTCCCTATGTCCTTGTGCTATTTGCAGAGTTCTTCCATTGAAACACAGTAAAGAAGGGCTTGAATGGATGTAGCTCTCATTCCAACGATCGAGGGACCAATAACTGAAATATTAGACCAAGTATTCTCCTGAATAGCTCCTAGAAATAATGACGGGCCTATTGTTGGAGTTGATAACATTAAAATCATCCCCAAAGATATCCTACCGTCAGTAAAGTTTTGGATAGTTAAAACTGACATTCATTATATCCACTACTTGATATGGGATTCCCAATACATACATGTTATGAGAAAAGCTTATGTGTGACCTGGTTCATCACCTTATGGGAAAAGTGGGCTTCCTCTGGAGACATAGGCAAGGGCCTCTACACAACAAGGCAAGGTCTTCAAAAAGAGAGGTGAGCTTCCACAAGAGAGAGAGAGAGAGAGCTTCGGTGGTTCTTTATGAGGCTAATGTTTTACAAGAAGTGGTTCCGATAAAATTTTGAGTGGTATTCCCTTTTAGGGAGAGAAACTCTCGATTTTTCTTAAGGTTCTCTTCTTGGATAGTGGTTTAAATGTGGAATGGAGATGGGTGATAGGTAAAAGTGATGTCGGTCAGAAAAGCTGGTCTAAAGAAGTAATTTTGTGTACCAAATTTAACTCTCATTGTTATAGTGGATTTGAATTTGATCTGCTTGCGGATGTAGGTCCTTTGGGTGAACCACATATATATCTTGTTTTTTAGTGGTGTGTATGCTCTGATACTTTATTTCTCATGCTCCTATTTTGTTTTTAGCAGAACAGCTATTTACGTACGGACGTTAAATAAGTTAGAAAAATACATGTTGCTCCCTTTATGCCCAAAAATTACAATCAAGGTCGTCAACGCGACCTTTTTTTTTTACAAAATTACCCCTCGGTCTGAGAATTCCATCCTCGGACCGCTGTTTTTCTTTTTTCAAAACTTAAGTTTCGGTCAGAGGTTGAAATTCTCGGTCCACAACTTAAGTTTTGAAAAAAAACAGCGGTCTGGGGATGCCATCCCCGAACCGCTTTTATGTTTTGGAAAAAAAAAATTCTTTTAAGTTTTTTTCCCAAAACTTATGTTGCTATCCGAGGATGGCATTCTCGAAACCGCTTTGTTTTTTCAAAACTTAAATTGCAGTCCGAGGATGGCATCCTCAGGCCGCTTTTTTTTTTCAAAATTTAAGTTTTAGTCCGAAAATTTCAACCTTGGATCGCAACTTAAGTTTTGAAGAAAAAAACGCGATCCGAGAATTTCATCCTCGGACTACAATGTAAGTTCTAAAAAAAAAGAAGGGTCCGAGAATAGCATCCTCAGACCGAGGGGTAATTTCGTCAAAAAAAAGGTCTTATTGATCAACCTTGAATGTAATATTCGCATATAAAGAGAGCATATTGTATTTTCCCTACTTATATAGGGTCCATACGTAATTAACTCTTAGCTAATTAAGTACATAATCCTGGTGGAATCTCCATACTTAGGTTCATGTTTCCACATCCAAAAGGATTCTTGAATGCTAACCAGTGGTATTAGTGCATGATCCACTAAAAGGCTAGGATTTGTGCATTCAATCAAAGAAAAACACATGGAAAATAAGCGCTTGGTTTTCAAGGGAGAAATACGATGGCAATCACAATTCTCGATCAACAAGTATAATAAAGAGTTTTTATTATGCAAAAAGGAAGAAATTAGAATATTGTTTGATGACGGTGGAATGGCAAGCTAGTGATTTTGTTGTCATGTGGTTCACTGTTGGAGTCAGTGACATCAAAATCACCACCATACCACAAGTAAAGGTTGGATAAATTAAAAGCAACGTCCATCTAGATTAGGATCTTGGCTATATATTTTTAGCTATTGAGATAAACAAGACATCTATGAGACTATAGGAAGTTTCCTATTTGGTATAGGATTTCTAATATATGAAATGAGAGAGAAAAGATGTGCCTGCCCTAGTTAGGCCACCTTATGAAAAATGTGGGTTTCCTCTAAGGAGAGAGATGGGGCCTCCTGCATAAAGAGCCAAGGTCTTAACAAAGAAGTGAACTTCCAAGAGAGAGAAACAGTGGACAATACTACTTTCAGGAAGCGAGGTTGGTTTCTTATATAGAAGCAATTCCCATGGAGATTTTAGGTGGCATTACCTTTTTAGTAAGAGAAAATCTCAATGGCTCTCAACAATCTCTTCTTGGACAATGGTTTAGCTATGGAATAAAG